GCACCAAGAGGTACAGCTGAACAACCCGCATGTCGCCCGTCGGCAACCGCCCTCCAGGAAACGAATAACGACGGAGCACCATCATGTCGCAAAGGACTTGCAAAGGCTATCGTTGCTGGCCGTCGCCTTGTATTGAACAGCCAGACTGTGTCGGCACATGATTTTCCAGAGCATCATCCGCTCAGTCCCGCCCGTCTCTGGCGGGAAGCCCCTTTTTCTATCTGAACACATACCACGAAATTTGCTTCGCTCCCCACAATATGGTGGAGAATTCTATTTTCATACCGGCGGTAAGCTTGTCCGAGTCATCAAACCGGAGGTCTTCCACGGCCTTCCCCATCCTTGAGCTTAGCTCGCCCGCCAGCACCTGCAGCGGCGCGCAAAACAGCCAAATCAATCAAGACCCGTCCAAAATATTCCTCGAGTCACGCATGACAGACTCGGCAATGCGCTTCTCCGCGCCAGAGTGCCCGGAAGAGCAGGTTTTTGCCCTCGCCGTCATGTTATCTCCATTTCCGGAAAGAGACCGCTCCAAACACGAAAAATAGATCTCGCACCCGGATCAACGGCACGGGACGACGCTAATCTCGCCGACCCCGGATCTTCGGTCTTCAGACGCATATATGGAACAAGCGCGCCGTCTGATCCACGCACACGCGAGCCTCTTCGCGCTCCCAGCTCCTCCGGGAGCTATATCTACACTGGGTTCCGGTAGACGCATTGGCCCGCGCTTGGCCGAAATACGGAACCAGACCCAAAGTAGAACTACCGACACATGTAGAGACAGAAGAGCGGTGGCACACAAGGAGAAAGTATCTTGACCGAAGCACCGTCTACCACCAAAGTTCCCCTATCTACCACCCATCACCTACCTGAGCGTTCTTGAGCATGAGCACGTCCAACCCCTGGAATTTCAGTCGGCACACGAAAGACCGCAAGAAAGGAATGATGGGGGACACCAAAAACGAGCAAGTACACGAGCGGGCGACGAACCCACACGGTCGAGTAAGGGCTAAGGCATGAAAGCCAAGGATCGCCGGAGGCACGGCGGCTAGCGCGTGAAGGGAGGGGGCGACCCAGTATGCGGTACTCCGCAAGATGAGCGGAGTCCAGGCTGCTGCCTCACTGGGAGGGGGGCGCGGGCAGTAACAACCAATCGACGCACTGGAAACGGTAGAAAAAAAAAATCAATCTGCGAGCATACGCATCTGGAAGGTAGACCGCTTTTGTTGAGATTTGTCGCGCTCCGGTCGACCGTACGAAGGTATGTAGAGAAGTCGCCCGGAAACCGTTATCGGCTAGATGGAACGAATTTCGAGTAAAATCGGGTCCACACACGACTCTATATTCGGCACAAAAACGCGCGTGAGATGCTCCTGCAATAGACCCGGGTGGGTAGAATATTTTCCACATGTTGGTTTTGTCGGGTCCGGATGTGGTTTCCCACCTGGCCTGGCCATGGCTGGGGCGTTTACCGCATGTTCACACTACATGCAGATGTCGCCGCACATCTCAGGGCTGTGGAGCTGGACGCACATATACCCTGAATTCCGGGGTCGCTTGTCTCAGGTTCACCTGACGTCGTTACTGTATGATTCTTCGGCGCTTGCCGCATGCTTGCACTCTACCCACATATATATTACCGAACATCTTGACGATCAAGCGGCTCGAGCGTAACTCCGGGGAAGCTCGGTCCCTGGGTCGACTTTGACCTCGCCGTCGTTACTACCTGTCAACCTGTGTTGGAGCTGGGGATTTCGGACATCCCGCGCGCGCTACAGCGTTCCCCGGACGGCCTCTTCTTTTTGCCTGTGAGGAACCCTACGGTGTCCTCCCATTGTGTACCAGATATTTCCCAAATATCCACGGAATATTCGCCGACAACAATATCCGCGATAATCGGAATCTGAAACTTGTCCGCAAGATGAACAGGCGGCCTTACGCGCCGCAGGCGGGCCGCTCTGCGGCCGAGTCACACCCCACCCTCCCCGCCAGAAGGGGTGCCCCCTTTCCATCTACCTTCGCCGCCGCGGCTCCAAACGGGCCCACCCCTTCGGTTTTCCCTGCCGCTACGGGAGCGCCGCCGCCAGTCATTCTTCTGCTAACAAAGAGGAAGCCGATAGCCACCGGACCGATGCGCGGTGGAGGACAGCAGGGCGCGGGACCTCAAAAACGCCCGCCCCCGCCGCTGTCAGCACCAGAACAGGCGGGTATTGTCGACTACAACGGGCAAATGCAGGACGCCCAGCAGTGGCCCCCGCAGACACCAGGGGCACGGGCTTGCAGCAGCTGCGGCGAGTTCCAGGAACCCCAACCCCAAACCATCATTAACTAAGTTGTGCTTTTTCCG